AAAAAAAAACATACACACATAAAAAAGCTGAAGCTTTTTCTCAATCACATGATTGAAGGATTTATGGGTCCCACATTCGGTAAAAATCTCAGATAAAAATAAAATAACAATTTTTTTTAATTGTCTGAAAACAATACAATTCAACTCTCTTCCATATATTCTTAATTGGGCTTAAGTTTACTAACCCATGGGCTTAAAACCTCGTACCGGTTTAACCGGAACGATTACAATAACTATAGGAAATATTAAACCGATACAAAACCGGAAATTGATTTATAAAAAGAAAAATGAAATGTCGTACCTTCTTCTTCCAACTCCAGTTCCGATCAGAGAATCTCCGACACACAGAGATCAAACCAATCTGTTGAATTTTTCCGACAATAAACTTATCTCTGTTCCTCATTGGATCTTTATAGACCCAGAAGCTTAAAAAACAGAAGAAAAAACATCGAAATCTATACGAGGCGATTGTTGTTGTCAGAGCCAGAAGGAGGAGGAAGAGAGATGGGAGATGTCTGGACATGGATCATATCATTCTTAATCCTTATCACTCTCATCGGATTCATTGCTTATCAGGTTCGTTCCGATTCTCATTTTGAATTAGAAACCCTAAAAATTTATACTTTGGTTCCATCGAATCTCTTATTGTATATACTCTGCTTAGGCTTATTCGATTGAGAAAGTAGAAGTTCTTAGAACTGAAATTAGGTTTGGTGTTCTTGCAACATAAATTGTTTGTAAGAATTGGTTTTGAGTTTTGGAGATTTGGTAAAGGTAGTAACTTTAAAGTTTCCGTATTTGGTTAGTTATATGTCAACTGCCAAAAATTTGATCATAGATCTCTCTGCTCTTGTGCTTTGCTTGTGAAAGCAACCGTGCTTATTGATTTTCATGAACTTTTTTAATAGTTGGTATATATGTTGTTGTTGTCTTGCAGCTTATTTGCTTAGCTGATCTCGAGTTTGATTACATCAACCCTTACGATTCTGCGTCAAGAATAAACGTTGTGGTATTGCCAGAATTCATTCTTCAAGGAGTTCTATGTTTACTCTACCTCGTAACGGGTCACTGGTTCATGGCACTACTTTGTGTACCTTATCTCTACTACAATTTCCAACTGTGAGTCTCTTTTTTAAACAACTCTCAGATTTTAAAAGGAGCAAGTTTAATCAATCTGATTCTTATTCTTTTTCGTATGTTAGTTACACGAAAAAACAGCATTTGATAGACGTCACAGAGATTTTCAACTTGCTTGATTGGGAAAAGAAGAAACGACTCTTCAAGCTCGCTTACATAATCCTCACTCTCTGTCTCACCATTTTCTGGTAATTAACCTCCGTCACTGTCTTTCCTCAATCCTTAAATCAGATTTTCAAAATCAGTTAAACTTATGTTATAACTTTTTTAAAGGTTAATCTATTCAACGCTGGATGATTACGAGGACTAAAGGCGCTTGAAGATACATCGATGTGACATGAGAAAGGAAGGTTTTTTCTTTTGTATGTTTATTACTGTTTTTTGTGGCATTAGAGAGTTTTATGTAATCTTTCCAAACAGATTAATCAAATTAGAAGCAGTGAAAGTGTTAACATTAGAATTTGTGAATTGTTTTTGGTCATCCAAATTGGAACCTTCTAACTCCTGACATTTCAATATCTCACTTGAAATGATACCAAGTTCTATTAGGATAATGAAAAATAGATTCCTAGTTTATCTATAAGTTAGCTTCATCTCTAATTCCAATTCCTATGTGATTAGGGAATTAACTTTTTGTATAAATACCACTCTTATGAATATATCAATGCAATCAAGCTTCTCTAAAATATTTCATAGACTCAGAAGCATAAAACAGAAGAAGAAAAACATCGAAATCGATCCGAGGTGTTTGTTGTCAGAGCCAGGAGGAGGAAGAGGGATGGGAGATATCTGGACATGGATCATATCATTCTTCATCCTTATCACTCTTGTCTTATTCATAGTTTATCAGGTTCGTTCCGATTCCCACTTTGAACAAGAAACTCTAAATATTTACTCTTTGGTTCCATCGAATCTCTTTCCCTATTAAGATATGCGCTGCTTAGGCTGAGTCGATGAGAGAGAACGGTTTCATGTTCTTGCAACTTAACATCTTTTGTAAGAATTGGTTTCGAGGTTTGGAGATGTGATCAAGGAAGTTACTTTAAAGTTTCCGTATATAGTTTAGTTATATGTCAACTGCCAAAAATTTATGTGGAATCTATTGTTTTTGATATAATGAGCTCTGGTTAGGTGATGGATTAAATCTATTGTCTTTTTAGTATATACCATGTTTGGAGGAATTTTGATTGACTTTTTGTTTGTTTCCTGTTCGATGAAATAGTTCAAGACAATTCTATTTGAATCTTGATAATAGATCTTTCTGTTAAGTACATAAATATGCGTAGTTTGTAAAGAAAGCAGACGCTTATTGATGTCCACGAACTTTTTTGTTGTCTTGCAGCTTATTTGCTTAGCTGATCTCGAGTTTGATTACATCAACCCTTACGATTCTGCGTCGAGAATAAACTTTGTGGTATTACCAGAAATCATTCTTCAAGGAGTTCTATGTTTACTCTACCTCGTAACGGGTCATTGGTTCATGGCACTACTTTGTGTCCCTTATCTTTACTACAATTTCCAACTGTGAGTCCCTTTTTATAAACTTTTTGGAGCAACTTTACTCATACATTGTCAAGCTGATTCTTATACAACATTAAGTGTATCTTTCTTTCCTTTCGTGTAGTTACATGAAAAACCAGCATTTGATAGACGTCACAGAGATCTTCAACTTGCTTGATTGGGAAAAGAAGAAACGATTCTTCAAGCTCGGTTACATGATACTCACTCTCTTTTTCACCATTTTCTGGTAATTAACCTCGTCACTGTCTTTTTCCTCAATCCTTAAATCAGATTTTCTAAAATCAGTTAAAACTTATGTTATAACTTCTTTTCAGGTTAATCTATTCAACGCTGGATAATTACGAGGACTAAAAGCGGCGACACGGGGTTTCTTTCATCAAACCCGCTCTTTGATACTTGACACTGCGCTCGAAGATACACCGATGTGGCATGAGAAAGGAAGGATTTTTGTGTACGTTTATTACTGGTCTTTGTGGCATTAGAGAGATTAATATAATCTTCTCCTGAACCAGATTGATCAAATTAGAAGCAGTGAAAGTGTTAACATTAGAATTTGCAAATTGTTTTTGGTCATCCAAATTGCAACTCTCTAACTTATTTAGAGGCTTTCTTTTGCTTAGCTGCAAAATTATTATTATTAGTCTATTTTTTTTTTGTAGAGTTTTATAAGTACTAATTTTTTTTTTAACAAATTCTTCAATTTGTGGTGAAGTCAGAAGGAATTTGTTCATATACGGTGAGTTCTTTGTGAAATCAAAGGTTAAGATTATGTTGATCTCTTGTACGTCGAACTTTTCCCGTGATTTTGTATGTTTCGCTTTGTTCGATGGATTCTAAATCTCTGGACTTTGATTTATTCTACTACGAGATAAACCCTAATTGATGTTTGTTTGATTTAGGGTTTGTCTACTTCTTCACTCCTTTTGTTTACTGGTTTGATTTTCCTTCTGGTATATAAATTGGAATCTTTTTGAGATAAGTGTGGAACAAACATGGATTTGTAGATGAATTTCTTGTGAATCGCAAAACTTTTCAACAGTACTGAATCTTCTTAGCTTATGGTTTCGTGAAGTGGGTTAAGGGTTTGGTTAAGCATTATTTGCTCATATGAAAATCTGTGCAGCTAAGATTAGTGTTCAATAACATGAATCACAAAGTAACCAAACTTTTGAGTTGATTACAATAGCTGAATTTTGAGAATTTCGAAGTTTCGGTTTGAATTGATGATATATACATGTATGGTAACTGCAGTTTTTGGTGATTCTTGATTGCTCTCTGGTTGAATCAATGGTTAACTCCATCAAAGGAATCTTCATCTCTTGGTACATAATACGTTACCTTTCTTGTTAATACTCTTATCGAATTTTGTCTTCGGTTTTTGCCAAATCTTTGGTTCTTTTTGTGTGTTCTTGCAGTGATGTTCCCATGGCGCAGTTCATTGCGCATTTGAACAAGTCGTTGCCTCCTTCACAGAAGTTTATAATACGAGTACTGAAACTGGACAGTACTTGTATGTTTGTGCTGCCACAAGCGGAGCAGATGATCCGCAGCGAGATCTCCAAGTTTAGGGACCAAATCTCTTTCTCGAAGCCGACTTGATCTCGGTTTTTTCGCTTACTTGATGTCTATTTTGGATCTTAATAATCTAGTGTGTATGATTTGTGTGACAATCTCTGATGAAAACATTGTGTGCAATGCATGATAAGATGAAATTTATCATCTTGTACTGATTTGGTTCGGTTCTGACAAACCGAATTGGTTTATATGGTTCTTTCGATGGTTATATATTATTGACTTTTTCAATGGTTTTTTGAATTTAAAAATTCGTTTTTTATGGATTTGTGATTCCAGACCAGAAAATTAGTAATTTAAAAACCGAACCTAACCAGACAACAACAAAGAGTAAACCGATCGGTTAGGTAAACCAAAATTAAACCCTGTACGAAAATCAATGCTCTCTTGCAAAGGTTCACACCTTTTTGTTGTTGGGAGAGATTGTGAAGGGCTTATCGAAGTCAGAGATTGAAATTGAGAAAATGTGGAAAGCGATGGTGATTCCGTCGACGGATTATAGATTTCTTCATCGGATTTTTATCGAAAAAGGTAATCTTTATGGTTTGTGTTTCTGTACTCGAGCTTTCTCTGGTCTCAGTGATGATTGCAGAGAGATTTTGAGAAATGGGCTTCGTGATATTAAGTTAGATGATGCTATTGCTTTGTTCAGTGAGATGGTAAAGTCTCGTCCTTTGCCTTCGATTATTGAGTTTAGTAAATTAATGAGTGCTATTACGAAGATGAAGAAGTATGATGTTGTCATCTCTGTGGGCGAGCAGATGCAAAAGTTAGGAATTGCACATAGTCTCTACACTTACAGCATTTTGATCAACTGTTTTTGCCGCCGCTCTCAGCTCTCTCTTGCTTTAGCTGTTCTTGGGAAGATGATGAAACTCGGCTACGAGCCTAGCCTTGTCACGTTTAACTCGCTGCTCAATGGTTTCTGTCGTGGGAATAGGATTTCAGATGCAGTATCTCTGGTTGATCAAATGGTGGGAATGGGATATAAACCGGATACAGTGACATTCAACACTCTAATCCATGGACTTTTTCTCACCAACAAAGTCTCAGAAGCGGTGGCTTTAGTTGAACGGATGGCTGTGAAAGGCTGTCAACCAGATCCTTTTACTTATGGTGTGGTGATAAATGGAGTATGTAAGAGAGGTGATACTGACTTTTCTTTAAAGCTGCTCAAAAAGATGGAAGAAGGGGAAATTAAGGCGAATGTTGTAATCTACAATACAGTCATTGATTGCCTTTGCAAATACAGAAACGTGGATGATGCATTCGACCTATTCAATGAAATGGAGAACAAAGGAATTAGACCGGATGTTGTGACGTACAGCTCCCTCATAAGTTGCCTTTGTAATTGCGGAAGATGGAGTGATGCCTCTCGATTACTTCGTGATATGATTGAGAGGAGAATCAACCCCAATGTAGTTAGTTTCAATGCATTGATAGATGCATTTGTGAAGGAAGGGAAACTTTTCGAGGCTGAAAAACTGTATGAGGAAATGATCCACAGGTCTGTAGATCCTAATACCATCACTTACAATTCACTAATTAATGGGTTTTGTAGGCATGCTCGCTTAGAGGAGGCTAAACAGTTGTTTGCTTTGATGGTTAGCAATGACTGTCTCCCAGATGTTGTGACATATAGTACTCTTATAAATGGATTTTGCAAGTCTAAGAAGGTAGAGGATGCCATGGAACTCTTTCGTGAGATGTCTCAAAGAGGATTGGTTGGAGTCACAGTCACTTATAACACTCTTATCCAAGGTTTTTTTCAATCTGCTGATTGTGAGAATGCCCAACAAGTTTTCAAACAGATGGTTTCTGATGGTGTGCCTTGTGATATTATGACATACAGCATTTTGTTAGATGGACTTTGTAAAAACGGGAAGCTAGAGAAATCATTGTTGGTATTCCAAGATCTGCAAAAGAGTGGTATGGAACTCAATATTTTCACATATAGTATTATCATTGAAGGGATGTGCAAGGCTGGTAAAGTTGAAGATGCGTGGAAATTATTTTGTAGCCTCAGCCACAAAGAAGTGAAGCCTAATGTTGTAGCATTCAATACAATGATCTCAGGCTTGTGTGGGAAAGGCTTGAAGGAGGAAGCAGATGCCTTGTTCAGGAAAATGAAAGACGACGGGCCTCTCCCAGATAGCGGTACCTATAATGCGCTGATTAGGGCACACCTTAGAGATGGTGACAAAGCCGCATCAGCTAAACTCATAAACGAAATGAGGGGTTGCGGGTTCTGTGGAGATGCTTCGACAATAAGAATGGTCTTTAATATGCTGTATGATGGGAGATTGGAAAAAAGCTTTCTGGACATGCTTTCTTAATACATCCTTGAGGTACCTTTTATAGTGATTACTTCTCGATGCAGTCCTTAGTATGCTCATGAATATGTTTGATTAGCTTTCTGTTACTAACTGAACTTATTATTTAGTTCAGATTGTTTAGGAAAAATTCCAGATTGTTTAGTTTCATGGCGATAGAGATATCGGAGTACATCTGTTGACTACTTCTCTTTTAAATAGTTAAAGGTCAATTCCTTTTCTAGATTACAGAGAGATATTGACAAACGGGCTTTGTAACATAAAAGTTTAGATGATGCAGTTCAGTGACATGGATCCTGTCTTTCTGAGAAAGTACAACTGTTGTGGATATCTGAAAAATTACTGTTACTTATCATGGATCCTGTCTTTTGGTTCGTGCATTTGATTAAGGGAATCAATAATTAGAGCCTTTCTAGGGTCTGATCAGAACAGAGTTAAGCATTCTTTGGTCTCACTAGATAAATGAGTCCATTGATTTGATGTTAATGGTATGTAACTGAGGTTTTGATTTGATTGCAATGGCTAAATTCTGAATATCTGAGTCTCTTTCGATATCAAACTTTAATTGCAGTTTTGGTGATTGCATGTTCTTATCATGTGTAGCGAATTCGGGGAAAACACTTCTCGGGAGATAGAGTACTGAGTCTGAGACAGACGTTATAACTCATGTGGCAGAGAGGAATGAGAAAGCCACTAGTGCAACTTGAGCAACAAATCAGGTCTAGTGTTGTTGAACATGTTCCAGACGTTTCCGGGGAAGTTGATAAGGATGGAGAATCTGACAACTAATTTCAGTGCAACATGTTAGACGGAAATTCAACAGTATCGGCAGCCGTAGATAGATGATCAGTGGAGTTTGTTTCATCTACAGAAAAGGGGAAGACAATTGGTTAATGCAGTCGTAGCAGAGGCGGATGCTTCAATAATATCTCCCCCTCGTTTCTTCGTTTTAGCAGAAGCAGAGGAAGTCAAAGCGGATGAAGAAACAAGTTTGGCTGATGAGAAAGCAGATCTTGAGGAGGGAGAATACGCTTCGACTCAGCTGATTGTTAAGTCGGGTCGAAGCAGGGAGCGCAGAGTTCACGTCCATCTCTGCCTTGAGCTTCCAAGTCTTATCATAGGGTGTTATCGGATCCAAGTGCTCTTATTGCTAAGGAGAAAAACCTTGGCACTACGAGCAAAAATAACCA